GTGAAGGGCGGTGTACAAATCCAATCTCTTCATCTATGTATCTATGTATCTATGTATCTATGTATCTATCTGTCTATCTATCTATCTATCTATCTATCTATCTATCTATCTATCTATCTATCTATCTATCATCTACCTACCTACCTACCTACCTATCTATCTGCTATCAGCTGTCTGTCTGTCTCTATCTATCATCTATCTATCTTCATCTTCATCATCATCATCATCTGTCTGTCTATATCTGTCTGTCTCTCTTTTTATCTATCATTTTTGTTGTTGTTTATTTGCCTTTTGCACTGGGACTCAAGGAGGATTACACAAATTGAGTCAGTACAGTCAACAGTACGGGACATTCAATAACCAAAGCATTAGGACTGTAGAAGTCTGGAGCCACCAGAAAGAGCTGAAACATTGCGTAAGTATTCATATGACACATTAGGTGGTCCTGAAATTACACAATAGGGTCCTACTTACAGTCAGCTACAATCATAGTCCCAATCATTTCTCCAAGTAAGTGTGAACCATTTATCTCCCATGTTGTGAAATTAGTCCAATGGGAAAATAGGAACATGATAATTTTATCTTTTGGAGGATTCGCTTTAGAAAAAAAAATCACATTAGGAATAAAGATCCGCGTGGATTCTGTTACCAAGAGGCATGGGAATTCAGCTCTGCTCTTAGCATATTAATTCATCTTACGTATAATGTTGATATTCCACATTCCCAGCAATAAGTTTCTGAGGCCAAAAAAAGAATCCCGTCTTTAAAATCTACAAGGACTTTTGCATTGTCTTTCGCCTCTGAGCTGTATCCCTATGTCCCTGTCTGCACACTCGTACCCTCCACAAATTTAACCAGTCTTTGCCCCCAATCTTCAGCCACAGACTCTTTTTAATAGGTCAGATTTAAAGATAGGAAAACCACCTACAAACATGCCTAAACTCTATAATTTTGCTAGTCCGAAGAGGCAAAATTCCAGAATCTGTAACGTCTCATGCAGAAATAGAAGGGACCTGGAGCTGGTTCCCAGTTCTGCAGTGTGGGACCTGAGAATCAACTTCAGCTTTGTAGGAATGACGATCTTCTACTTGTCGGCTTTCATGTTATTTAGAAAATGACAAGTTCATCCACTCTCAAATATCTGCAGGCATCTAACTGTGGTTAATGTCTTGCCGAAGGAGCGTACAGTTACGGTCTCAAAAAGAAGACCAGAGTTAGGTCGCCGTGCCATCGTGAAATGGGGGGAAAACAAGCAGGAGGTAATATATATATTTTTTAAAAGAATTTTTTTTATTTTCATGGAAATAACCTCTTACAGTTAAAAAAAAACTATTATCATTCTTAAACCAATACCTATATTCCCATATCCCCCCTCCCTCCTGGTGGCTTCCCGCAATGTTTCCCCCTTTGACCCTCCAGTACATCTTAAGATAACATCAATTAATCTCAATATTGTTCTAAACATAGTAAATTGTGCTTCACATCCCAGTTTTTTTCTAGGTAAAGTTTAAAGTCATTCCATTCTTCAAAAAAGTCAAGATCTTCCCTGTTATTCAGTTTCTTCGTAATTTTGTCCATCTCTGCCATGAACAGAATTTTTCGTATCCATTCTTCTATTTCTGGTGTTCTTTCTTGTTTCCAACACTGTGCATACACCATTCTTGCAGTCGTGATCATATACCATAACATAGTCTCAAATATCTGCAGGCATCTAACTGTGGTTAATGTCTTGCCGAAGGACAGCAGGGAAGGAGCGTACAGTTACGGTCTCAAATAGAAGACCGGAGTTAGGTCGCCGTGCCATCGTGAAATGGGGGGAAAACAAGCAGGAGGTAATATTTTAACAGAATCACTGAACAACTGGCTGGAAAGATCAAGATTAATCCTCCCTAAGCTGGGAGAAAGAGGAGCTCTCGTGCTCCTGACCTCCCGATTCTGTTCGCTTTGTACCAGGTTATTTTTAATCGATGGTAATAATAGTAACCCTCCAGAGGCGTCTGCAGAGCGTTCTTTCCCTGAGCCGTTTTCCCTTTGGGCTTCATTATGCGTCTTCTCCATCCATCAACAGGGGGCGATTTGGTGAAGTCCGCAAATGCACCGAAAAGTCCACGGGACTCTGTCTGGCAGCCAAGATCATCAAAGTCAAAGTGGCGAAAGAAAGGGTAAGGAGCTGCCCTCTAACCAAATAAAGAAAGGAGCGGACTGTTATCAGCGCATTATGAAAAAAGCAAAATGGGCGTTTCCAGGGTGCTTTTTTTTTGGGGGGGGGTGCCAGAACTCTCAGGAGGGAAATGATATTTGCAATCTGTATACTGAAAATTCATGAACTTTTAAACATTTTAAAAAGAATTTTGCCCAAGAGGTTCTGGAACTCCGTTCTAGCACATCCCCCCAGAAAAAAATAGATAGGGACTCTGGGGCAAGTGATGCTCTGTCATCTTGGTGCTTGGGGGGGGGGGTCAACAGTGGGAGGGCTTCTAATGTCCTGGCCCCACTGGTGGACCTCCTGATGGCACTGGTATTTCTGGCCACTGTGTGACACAGAGTGTTGGACTGGATGGGCCTTTGGCCTGATCCAACATTGGCATCTCTTATGTTCTTATGACATTTCTGTGCATAACTATGCAGGGGTTTGGATCCAGACTCAATCTGCAGTTTCTGCATATTCCTCCTCCCTGCTGCAGACCCCCCTCGGGGGTCCCCTACTCGCTGGGAGCAGCATTTTCTGCAGATCAGTGGGCCAGAGTGGGGAGAGGAAGCCAGGGAAACTCCATTTAGCCCTTGGGGGGGGAAATTACAGCTGGGATCCCAGCCCAATGTTTAGAAGCAACATAAGCTCTCTACGGGCAGACTTAAAAGGCTCAAAAGCAATGCTCCCTCTAAGCTGTGGAGTCTTGTGAGCAAAAAATCTACTTTGTGAGCTACTGGCACTAAAGCGGTGAGCAAGCAATTTGGCTACTGCATAAATTAGTTTGCTCCGGAGCCCTCCTTCCTGAGCGAAGACAAAAATGTGTGAGCCGGAGGCTAAAAAACTGTGAGCCAGCTTGGACTAACTCAGCTTAGTGTGTGAGATCCGGCTCCTCCTGACTCCCTCTGATGAACTGTAGCCAAACTGCAGGCCAGCTTTGTGACTCTGCTGACTCATGGGTCTGTGACTTCTGCCAGGCAGCTGCTGAATCTGCCGCAAGACACAACTCAGTTTAACCACAAGTGCTAGTCCAGTGGTTTTCAAATCTCAGGGTTCCTGAGAAGCTTCGGGGGTTGTTAACAGGAAGCTCAGCTATGGCAGACACGCTTCCTTGAAAGACTGCCTGCCTCCATGCCTGCTGAGCCCCCAGAATGCACAGCTGCAGGTGTTTGAGGGTGCACTCATGGCAAGGAGGAGCCTGGTAATCGATGTTCCGTCATTATACCCAAGAGTAAAGTGGCTGGTCCATGTGCCAGTCATGAAACTGTCTCCTCCCATACGAACCTACCCCATACACTCTGGTCATCTTCGGAGGCCCTGTTTTGGTTGCCCTTGCTGTCTCAAGTATGGTTGCCAGGTCTTACCTTGGTCCCAGCCGTGGCTCCAGTACGGCTCCTGGAGTCTTCTGGCATGAGCGCTGCAATGACGTCACCCAGAAGTGATGTCATTGCGCTGGGCACATCATGCAGGGGACATTCTAGCATTTGGATTTTTAAAAACTCTATGGTCACCATAGAGTTTTTACCCAAATGCTAGAGCATCCCCGGCATGACATGCCTGGCACGATGATGTCATTTCGGGGTGACATCATCACACCAGGCACATCAGGCGTAATGGGGCTCACCAATCAGCTAGATTGGGGGGGCAGAAAGTGGGGGAACCCTCACCCCCATTGGGGGGTTGGCAACCCTAGACTCAAGCTAGATGGGTGGCGACCCGAGAAAGGGCCTTCTTGGTATTGGTGCCAAAAACGTTGGATCTCCGTCTCCAGGGAGTAGGGCTGCTGGCTTTGGGTTGAGAAATACCTGGAGATTTTGGGGTGGAGCCTGGGGAGAGCAGGGTTTGGGGAGAGGAGGGACTTTAATGGGTTATAATACCACCAGGGGTCATTTTGTAGAAAAAGAGGTGCAGGAGCTCATTAGCATAACTCATTAGCATAACTTATTTGCATATGTCACACCCCCTGACATCACCAGAAGTGTGTCAGAAGGCAACACCCAACGCTCAGGCTCCACTGGACTGTTTTGGATTGCTAGCTATTTGGGGGGGGGACAGGTCTGTCCTCGCAGAGGAGGGAGAGCCCAGCAGGAACTTATTAGCATAATAGGCCATACCCAACAGCAGAAACCCATTAGCATATTAGGCCACACCCCTGACAGCACAGCTCATTAGCACATTAGGCCACACCCCCATGTTACCAGAAGTGTGGTTATCCAGCCACACCCACCTTTTGCTTCTTATTTGCTTCTTCTGTTTACCTTGTTTGTGGTCAAAACCCAGGGCTTTTTTTGTAGCAGGAACTCCTTTGCATGTTAGGCCACACACCCCTAATGTAGCCAATCCTAATGAGTTTCTGCTGTTGGGTGTGGCCTATTATGCTAATAAGTTCCTGCTGGGCGTGGCCAACTTGGGAGCCAGCCGGAACTCCGTTCCTGTGTGTTCCTGCCCCAAAATAGCCCTGCAGAGATCAATTCCCTGGAAGAAAATAATGGAGGGTGGACGCTCTGGCATTGTACCCCACTGAGGTCTCTCCCCCCCCCCAGACTCCATCCCCAAATCTCCAGGCATTTCCCAACCTGGATCTGGCAACTCTAATGCTCAGTCCTCCACAGGGCGTTATTTGGTTTGCTTTTGGTTTATGTACCAAGTTTTATACAGAGCTCCCTGGGTATGTACAAACCCGTACCTGGTCTGTATGTGGCCAGGGTTTGATCTATTCATGATAATAATAGGGGCAGATGCTTTTATTATTGCATAGAGTGACAACAACGACAATGGTAAAGCCTGCCTGTCGTCGCTAGGGCTTACAATGTTCTTGCCTCCTAACATTTCAGGAAGAAGTGAAAAATGAAATAAACATAATGAACCAGCTCAATCACGTCAACTTGATCCAGCTTTACGACGCTTTCGAGTGCAAGAACAACCTCACCTTAATCATGGAATAGTGAGTGCTAAATCCCTCCCTGGGTACTCTAACCACTAGACCATGTTTTACTATGGTTATTTTCCTTTATGTATTGTTTGGGTATATTTCCAAGAAATGTGGGAAGGTGGAAAGTGCTGTCAAGTCGCAGCAGACCTGTGGCGACCCCGAGAGTTATTGAGGCAAGAGATGAACAGAGATGGTTTGCCATTGCCTGCCTCTGCATAGCAACTTCCTTGGTGGTCTCCCATCCAAGTACCAACCAGGGTCGGCCCTGCTTAGCTTCTCCAATCTGTCAAGATTGAGCTAGCCTGGGCTATCCAGGTCAGGGCTTCTGAGAAATACAAAGTGAGCGGTGGCACAGGGGATTTATCCTCTGGTTACAAGTAACATCTGAGCGGAACAGAACTGCTGTCAGTTCTAGCCCCATGCTGGTGTGAGCTAACAGCCTTGTCCCCAGCTCGCCGTCCACCCAGCGGTTCGAAAGCTTCAGCAAGTAAATAAAATGGGTACCACTCCTTAGAGAGGGTGGGCACACCAAACCCCCTCATAAGATCGGAAGCCTAGAAGATCTCTTCGGCATCAAGAAGCCTGTAATGGGCCGTTCCGGCCAGGCGGTGGCAGTGCGGCACTGCGACCCGAAGAGTCCTGGAGAAAAAAGCTGACGTCATCAAGCCAAGCCGAGTGGAAAATGCCGTCTGGAACATGTCTGAGTCTACAACTGAGCAAAAATCCCCGTCGGCTGTGAACGTGTGCGATGTAAAGATTTATATATATATTGTTCTCCCTTACCCCTATGAATCATTGTTAGTCCCTTGTGAATGTGTAACTGTAAATCTCTCAGAGCCAGCACCAGCAGGATTGAGCAATTAATAAATTGAAAGATTTATTTATTTATTTAAAGTGGAAAAAGAAGAAAGCAGCTGAGCTAATGTGGAGACACCCATTTCCCTGCCTGCTTTCTGTCTCTGTGCTAGTGTTGACGGCGGCGAGCTGTTTGACCGGATCACAGATGAAAACTACCATTTGACGGAATTGGATGCGATCCTGTTTACCAAGCAAATCTGCGAAGGAATCTACTACCTCCATCAACAGTACATTCTTCATCTCGACCTCAAGGTGAGGAACGTTTTCAGCTTCTTCCGCAGACACTGAAACTGCCGTGTTTAAACTCACCAGCAGCTCCTGGCACTATCTATATGGGAAATGTTGAAGTGTGTGTGTGTGTGTGTGGGGGGGGCTCAGTTTCTAATCTGAACTTTTGCAGATAACATTCTTCCTGTTGCATAGAAGCAGTGCAAAGCAAGAACTCTACAAGTATATTGCCTTATTAACAAATGTAATACTAACTTTTAGTTTAACTGGGTTACGATCTCTCACTCTTGGGTTTTTAGTTAGTGTGGGTATCTTTCCTTTATCCATAGATGTAGTCCCGTCCCAATTTTTTCTCCTGAATAAATAAATAAATAAATAAATAATAAATAATCTGAACTTTTGCAGATAACATTCTTCCTGTTGCATAGAAGCAGTGCAAAGCAAGAACTCTACAAGTATATTGCCTTATTAACAAATGTAATACTAACTTTTAGTTTAACTGGGTTACGATCTCTCACTCTTGGGTTTTTAGTTAGTGTGGGTATCTTTCCTTTATCCATAGATGTAGTCCCGTCCCAATTTTTTCTTTGTAGCTTTGAAGTCTATTGAAAAACAATAAAAATACCCCTTCGGGGTTTCAAAAAACCCCCCAAACATTCTTCCTGTTATTAAAAAAAACATCCCTACCCCATCCAATGAGACAGCAGGTAGCTGGGGTGAAAGTAATTTGCATTTCTTGACCTACAGATGGAAGTCCACTGGCCTTCTAGAGGGCGCCTTTTATATCTGTGATTCCATGGATCTTGTATTGAACGCTCATTTTGTCCTCTAGTGATTCCTTGGTCCTCATTTGGGGGCTTGTGTCTCCCTCTTGCTGTGAATTGCTTCCTTCCCCCGCTCTCTCCCTTGTTTCAAATCCGTGCCATGCTTTGGCTGATTTTATTTTGTTCTTTGGTTTCGCTGGAATTTCTGCCTGCGCGGCTGTTCCCCTTTGGCTTCACTTATGATCCGAGCACCTGATGGGGAGAGCCGGTGTGGTATAGTGGTTAGAGTGGTTGGTTTAGGACAGGAAGATAGGAGACTCCTGCCACATGTGCTGACGGACCAATCAAAACAAGCCAAACAATAGGGACCCCAAGCGTATATGATGTACAGAGATTAAAAAATGCAAGGGCAGACCATCAAAAGATTCACAAATTTCACAAGTAGCCAGTAGACATCAGTCTGTTCTAACATAATTACAGTAAATCAGTTAATAAAGTAGAATTGGTGACAATTATGTTACAACAGACTGATGTCTACTGGCTACTTGTGAAATTTGTGAATCTTTTGATGGTCTGCCCTTGCATTTTTTAATCTCTGTACATGTGCTGCGGTGGCTCAAGTGGTTAAAATGCTGAACTGCAGGCTGTGGAAGGTCAGTAGTTCAGCAGTTCAAGACCCGAGCTGCCGCACGACGGAGTGAGCTCCCGTCTCTAGTTCCAGCTCCTGCCAACCTAGCAGTTCGAAAGCAAGAAATTGCAAGTAGATAAATAGGTACCACTTCGGTGGGAAGGTAACAGCGTTCCGTGCGCCTTGGTGTTTAGTCATGCCGGCCACATGACCACGGAAACGTCTCCAGACAGCGCTGGCTCTTCGGCTTTGAAACGGAGATGAGCACCACAACCCTAGAGTCGGACTCGACTGGCTTTCGAGCAAGGGAACCTTTACCTTTTTACATGTGCTGACGGAGGCAGGCCAGACCGTTTTGCTTGGCACCTGGGGGTGGATCAGTGCCTAGGCAACCAAGATGCTGGCTGCAGTGCCGTGCGGAAGACAAGCAGAGCTTATGCCCATCATCGCTTCCCAAGCCTGCACAAGGTGAATCCCTGAGATGCGGGCAGTCCCACTGAGGCATGCTTTGCCCCAAGTGTAGTCCCCCCCCCCCCCCGTTTTTTTCCCCACCACCAACATATTTGCAGATAGACGCTGCCTTTTGGAGGCACTTGGGCCCAAAAAGATTGCTTGCCCCTGGTCTAGGACCTGCAGGACTCAGGCTTAGAATCCTGCCTCACCCATGAAGCTCACTGGGTGATCTTGGACCAGCCCCCCTCTTTCAGCCTAGCCTACCTCACAAGGACATTGTGAGCATAAAATGGAGGTTAGGAAACGTAGGCCACCCTGAACTACTTGGATTAAAGATAGGATTTTTAAAAAACGGTGAGATGGATACACGTTTCAAGTTAAGAAACAAATAAGCACTGTTTCCGTTGGACGTGTTTTTTCTTGGATAGAAAGAGAAGGACTGCAGGGAGGAGGGGAAAAGAGAGAAGGAGAAAGGCAGCATTGGAGTCCAAGAGCACATTAGAGACCAACAATGTTCCCAGGATGTAAGCTTTTGAGAGTCAAAGCTCTCTTCATCAGTATCTGACCAAGGGGACTTTGACTCTCAAAAGCGTATACCCCCCAGGACACTGATGGCGAACCTTTTAGAGACCGAGTGCCCAAACTGCGACCCAAAACCCACTTATTGATCGCAAAGTGCCAACACGGCAATTTAACCTGAATACTGAGGTTTTACTTTAGAAAAAAACACACACATACATTAACTTAAGATGGTCCAAACAAAGTAAGGAAAGCAATTCCAAATGCTTTCATTTACTTAAAATTATTTGGCAGAGAATTCAACACTTTAATGATGGTCTGGGCCTGGCTGGGGCGATGGCACGCGTGCCCACAGAGAGGGCTCTGAGTGCCACCTCTGGCACCCGTGCCATAGGTTTGCCACCACTGCCCTAGGAAATCTCGTTGGTCTTTAAAGTGCTACTGGATTCAAATCCTGCTCTTCTGCTGCAGAACGACACGGTTACTCGCCTGAAACTATCTCTGGAGAAAGGCAGCACCTGTTAGTCCGTCAAACATAAGTGAAGTGTAGCAGGGCAGGGATTAAAACAGGTTCTCGGTCTGGAGAAGTTGAAGACGGAGGCCCTCCATCACTGCAATACGCTCTTTTCTTTTCAGCCTGAAAATATCCTCTGTGTGAATCGCACGGGGAACCAGATTAAAATCATTGATTTTGGACTAGCGAGAAGGTAATACTCTTGTTTTTCTGCTGTTCTCTTCCACGTTTTCCCTTCTCAGGTTCCGTGGGCCTGTATGGGAACTGAGTTAAATCCAACGCGAGTCACAGACAAATCATATAAGCTGTGCTTTGTGGCTGGCAACCCGTGTGAAAGGTGCTCATCTCATGTGTCCAGGCAGGGTGGTCTGGTCGTTGGAGACTAACGGTTGGATCCAGCACAAAATTCCCACTTGTGCCAGAGCTCTTGCACAAGTGGAAAGGCAAGGAAAAGATGCTGTAGCTCCAGGGTATTTTTCCCCTGGGGAACGTGCTGGAAAAGAGTTCTGGAACATCTTCGACAAAATTCTTTTTGAAATGTTTAAAAGTTTATGAGTTTTCAGTATACAGATAAAAAACTTCATTTCCCTCTTGAGAATTCCGGCACCTCTTTTTTTCTTTTTTTTAAAAAAGCCTTGTATAACTCCTTGTATGGAGCTGCGGTGGCTCAAGTGGTTAAGACGCTGAACTGCAGGCTGTGGAAGGTCGGTAGTTCAGCGGTTCGAGACCCGAGTGTGCCGCATGACGGAGTGAGCTCCCGTCTCTAGTTCCAGCTCCTGCCAACCTAGCAGT